GTACTTTACACTACTGCATGTAGGAACATGGTTGCAATAAGTGGAGTTGACTGGTGGACATTTGTCTACTTACTGCTTGCTGCTTACACAGGTTTTATCTCCATTCTTATTTGCAATGTCGAGAGGAAACCTGCAAGTAAGCATTTTATTGTACTGTTTATATGACACATACACTGCTCAAAACAATAAAGGGAACACTTAAACAACACAATGTAACTCCAAGTCAATCACACTTCTGTGAAATCAAACTGTCCACTTAGGAAGCAACACTGATTGACAATAAATGTAACATGCTGTTGTGCAAATGGAATAGACAACAGGTGGAAATTATAGGCAATTAGCAAGACACCCCCAATAAAGGAGTGGTTCTGCATGTGGTGACCACAGACCACTTCTCAATTCCTATGCTTCCTGGCTGATGTTTTGGTCACTTTTGAATGCTGGCGGTGCTTTCACTCTAGTGGTAGCATGAGACGGAGTCTACAACCCACACAAGTGGTTCAGGTAGTGCAGCTCATCCAGGAAGGCACATCAATGCGAGCTGTGGCAAGAAGGTTTGTTGTGTCTGTCAGTGTAGTGTCCAGAGCATGGAGGCGCTACCAGGAGACAGGCCAGTGCATCAGGAGATGTGGAGGAGGCCGTAGGAGGGCAACAACCCAGCAGCAGGACCGCTACCGCCGCCTTTGTGCAAGGAGGAGCAGGAGGAGCACTGCCAGAGCCCTGCAAAATGACCTCCAGCAGGCCACAAATGTGCATGTGTCTGCTCAAACGGTCAGAAACAGATTCCATGAGGGTGGTATGAGGGCCCGACGTCCACAGGTGGGGGTTGTGCTTACAGCCCAACACCGTGCAGGACGTTTGGCATTTGCCAGAGAACACCAAGATTGGCAAATTCGCCACTGGCGCCCTGTGCTCTTCACAGATGAAAGCAGGTTCACACTGAGCACATGTGACAGACGTGACAGAGTCTGGAGACGCTGTGGAGAACGTTCTGCTGCCTGCAACATCCTCCAGCATGACCAGTTTGGCGGTGGGTCAGTCATGGTGTGGTGTGGCATTTCTTTGGGGGGCCGCACAGCCCTCCATGTGCTCGCCAGAGGTAGCCTGACTGCGATTAGGTACCGAGATGAGATCCTCAGACCCCTTGTGAGACCATATGCTGGTGCGGTTGGCCCTGGGTTCCTCCTAATGCAAGACAATGCTAGACCTCATGTGGCTGGAGTGTGTCAGCAGTTCCTGCAAGAGGAAGGCATTGATGCTATGGACTGGCCTGCCCATTCCCCAGACCTGAATCCAATTGAGCACATCTGGGACATCATGTCTTGCTCCATCCACCAACGCCACGTTGCACCACAGACTGTCCAGGAGTTGGCGGATGCTTTAGTCCAGGTCTGGGAGGAGATCCCTCAGGAGACCATCCGCCACCTCATCAGGAGCATGCCCAGGCGTTGTAGGGAGGTCATACAGGCACGTGGAGGCCACACACACTACTGAGCCTCATTTTGACTTGTTTTAAGGACATTACATCAAAGTTGGATCAGCCTGTAGTGTGGTTTTCCACTTTAATTTTGAGTGTGACTCCAAATCCAGACCTCCATGGGTTGATAAATTTGATTTCCATTGATAATTTTTGTGTGATTTTGTTATCAGCACATTCAACTATGTAAAGAAAAAAGTATTTAATAAGATTATTTCATTCATTCAGATCTAGGATGTGTTATTTTAGTGTTCCCTTTATTTTTTTGAGCAGTGTATATATATATTGTCACGATCGTCGAACACAGTGGACCAATGCGCAGCGTGATTTGCGAACATACTTATTTATTAGAGTACCACACGAACAAAACAACAAAACGATACGTGAAGTCCTTGGTTACAATACAAAACCAACACGGAACAAGATCCCACAAAACACTGTGGCAAACAGGCTGCCTAAGTATGGTACCCAATCAGAGACAACAAGCAACAGCTGATACTCGTTGCCTCTGATTGAGAACCACCCCGGCCAACACAGAAACACAAGAGCTAGATAAAGAACCTAGAACACAAACACATAGAAACTACACACCCTGGCTCAACATAAGAGTCCCAGAGCCAGGGCGTGACATATATATATATATATATATATATATATATATATATATATATATATTGTATTTGTATTTTTTTATCTTCAAAAATCTTCCATCTATAAAAATACTGTGCTTTATGTTTTCAAATCAAATCAAATGTTATTTATCACATACACGTGTTTAGCAGATGTTATAGCGGGTATAGCGAAATGCTTGTGCTTCTAGCTCCGACAGTGCAGTAATATCTAGCAAGTAATATCTAACAATTTCACAACATATACCCAAACCACACAAAACTAGTAAGGAATGGGATTTAAGAATATATACATATATGGACAAACAATGACAGAGCGGCATGGACTAAGATACAGTAGAATATTATAGAATAGAATACAGTATATACATATGAGATGAGTAGTGCAAGATATGTAAACATTATTTAAGTGACTAGTGTTCCATTTCTTAAAGTGGCCAGTGATTTCAATAGGCAGCAGCAGCCTCTAATGTGCTAGTGATGGCTATTTAACAGTCTGATGGCCTTGAGATAGAAGGTAGGCTACTCACCAGCAGAACGAAGGTTCCCATCAGCTCTCCCAAACACTCCCGAACCAGGGGGTTCGTCATCCTCAGTGTCTGCTTCACCCACTCCACTTGGGGCTTAAAGCTGGGTCCCTTAACCCCCATCTCTCTGACCTCTGGGGCCACTGGCCAGGGGTCTCTGTCTGATACCTGCCCTCTCTCCTCCATCACCAATACCTGTTTGTTAGCCTGGACCTGTCCCTCTGTCCGTCTGTCCCCTGTCACATCTGAGACATCTATACGCATCTGTGCCTAAACCTGTAGCTTACACCTGGCCGGCCTACAGATTATGTGAGTGTATGATGCTCTGTGCAGATCAGATGCCCACGCAGATCAAATGGTTTCTGCAGAATCTTGGAGTCAATGTGGTATTCACACTCTGTCAAAGGCAAAAATAAAAAGTGTAATTTAATCAATAACAGCTGTCATCTTCACCTGTCCGTCGCCTGATGTCCATCATCGTCTTTCCCTGTGCACTCCTTTACTAGCTAGTTACCGTCTTTATCAGTGCCCGACCTGTCCTCTGATCAAATCCATGTCAACCACACACACACACACACACACACACACACACACACACGGCTGACTGTCCATTAACTAAAGTATTGGATCTAATCTCATCAATCAGACTTTGGCCTCCATAACCATGAACTCTAAACTGCACTAAACCTAGTTTTAAATCCTAGTTAAATGTCATCCTTCTTCTAAACAAACAGTATCTGCTGTGTTTTTGGTGTGATTAAACATTTGAGCTGCTTTGTCTTACCATGCTTGAGGAAGTCAATTAGCCAGCTAAGTTATTTGAGAAAAAAGTTGGATCTCAGATTCATATTGCTAGCTTGCAAGCTAACTAGCTAGCCATATCCATTTAGCTGTTTTGTTCCAATATAAATATAATTAGAACATCATAATAGTTTTAACCCGAGATGTACTTATCTGGGTTTAAAATTAAGTATTGCAGAACATCTCTGCCTGTCTTCCCTTGTTTCTCTAGTATTCTTTGTATTGATTATAATACATAGGCCTGGTTCAATATTGAGTGTGCGTTGTGTAATAGAGTGGTGGCCTATAAAATATCTGTATGTTGTGTGTACAAACCCCACCCGACCCTATAGATACTACAGGAAATTAGATAAGGACCATGTGACCTTCCGGAGGGGTTTGCATCTGTTAAAACATGATCTCCTAAGGTGCCTTGTGTGTGTGTGTGCATGTGTGTGCATGTGTGTGTGTGTGTGTGTGTGTGCATACATGCCCATTTGTGTGTTCTGATTCTTCAGTTTTAGTACATTTCAAAAGGACTTTATAATCGTACCACACTGCCCTTTGGTTCTTTGGGCAAACCTAATGTAGGCATGTGCCAACTAAGCAACTAATCATTAATTAAGCCTTTGTTAACAACTCCACTGGAGTGATAAGATTGGTCAGTGAGGTTATATCGACCTCTCTTGTAACAGCGTTGAGTAATCTACTGTAATTAATAAACAGAGAAAAATAAAAGAGGGAATGCACACATAACTGAGGAAGGCAAGTGAACTGCCCTTCAATTTCAGGTAAAGCAAAGAAGTAGAAATGTGCTTAGAGCTGGCACAACTCTGTATTCTACATGACAGAGACCCATGTGTCTGCTCTAGAAAATACATTTCTATCTGAATGTTATGAAATGTCACATCTCCTGAACAGGCCCTGATGAAACCCTCAGGATAATAAAAAGACACTACCGATAATGAGGAGATAATGACGCAGGGAAGGCAACAAACACACAGACGGATACTAAGGAAACGCAGCATGGTTGAAATGTTATGAAGTATCACTAGCTCAATAAAGATTGCATTGGGGAGCAGTAAACAATGGCTTGGCATTATTCTCTTGTCAAGGGCAGAAAAAACTAACCTTGAAATAGTATTACATCGGCGATTGCCTAATGCTATCTTATCACATGGTCAGGCGACTGAGACCCATCCAATGAGAACCCATCCCACCAAGAGCAGTGTCTTCTGACAGGTTGCGTCATTCTGACTTGATTCGCTAATTAATCAGTGTCAATCAAACACGATGTGTCGCTGAGACATGAGACATTACATAAACACATATAGGCCTATAAACTACACCTAAGAGCCTCATTGCACGTGCACACATGCACTCACACACACACACCTATCCCTGAGAACCGAGTATATTTGTGGGCAACGTAGGCGGGCAGATAATATGTGATCCTCTAGCGCCCCCTGTAAGTAAAACAATATACATTTACATTTTAGTAATTTAGCAGATGCTCTTATCCAGAGAGAGTTACAGGAGCAATTAGGGTTAAGTGCCTTGCTCAAGGGCACATCAACATATTTTTCACTAGTCGATTACTGGCCCAACGCTCTTAACCGCTAGGCTACCTGCCGCCATGTACTGCGTTTAAACAGGGACCGTTTTCAACCATGGGGTTATTGTAGGATTTATTAACAGCAAGTAGATGGGAGGACGGTTATTAACTTTCTAGTCACAATATATATTACAACAGCCATATACAAAACTCCTTACATTTCATCATATAAAACAATGAGCAGACTAGGTATTAAAGAAACATACAACATATCTCTACAAAATTAAATAAATGACCTCTGTATTGATCTCTCTCTCCCTCTTCATACCCCGGGTTGACCCTATATACAGGTCCTCTCCTCAATGTGCACTGATCTCTTCAGTGCTTTGTTATCGTATGACTGGTGCGATAGATATCATCCCTCTCACTTGAGGTAGAAGTTGACCCGAACCACAGACCCAAAATCAGATTGGCAACCCTCACTTCAACCTCATAGGAGTACAATTCTTCAGTGCTTTGTTATAAGCATATTGAGGGTGCATATCAATGTTCATTCCTGTCACTGTGGTTTGTGAGGACGGTGTAGTACCACATCCACAGGCCCAGGGGGCAGTGTTCTGATCAAGGTCCAGGCCTCCAGTCTCCTCAGGCCCACCAAGCTCACACCCTCGATCTCCAACACCTCGTCCCCTGGAGACACCTGGTTCACTGGACCACCTGAAAGAGAAGAGGGGCTTATTGTTAGTTGATGTTTACCTTGATATCTTTATCAGACAGCTCATAACCAATGTTCTGAGCTTGGAGTTTGACCCGTGTTTTGGCTGACGAAATAGACATTAATTTGAATGTACCCAATACAAAGGTCAGCTTGTGGTGATGTACAGTACATGTATTTGATGTCATTTATTTGACCATTTAAAAAAACACAATACAACCACATGTGGACACAATGCATTATTGCATTTTTTAAATCATCAAGGATGACAAAAAGGTTTAACTTATTTCCGTTGTGGTCCACTGGAAAATACATGAAAACTAAATATATACACAAGATTATAACATGAAAACCGAATACATCATCTCATCAATAGGTGGAAACATAAAAGGAATAAAATAGATGACCAAGTAACGTTCATTAATACTATTATATTTTGTAGGTAGGTTGACCTCTCACCCAGGAAGAGTTTCTGTACGGTGAGGGGTTTGTCTCCCAGGCTGGAACCCACTCCTCCCTCCAGACTGAAGCCCAGGTCTCTGCTGCGCTTCTCCAGCCTCACACACACCCTCTGACCTGACACACAGGACACACACACACACGGTCAAAATGACTCCCACACACACATTTGTCTACGTTCTCTGTCAAAACAACAGGTTCAGGGTGATAAGAGAGAAGCTGTGGAAATGACTTTGGAACATTGATCAATGTTGCTCTGCTTTAGATAAACTGTGGTAACAGTTAAGTGCTACTACAATGCTCCAACCAACTGATCCATCTCACCTGTGTTAGTAGGCTCTGTCTGTGTCCCTCCCCGACTGTCTGTCACTGTTCCTCCCTTACAGGGGTCTGTTACCCCCCCTCTCCTCAAGACAACCACACCCATCCCCTGAGTCCGCGCCCTCCTTAGTGTCCTCAGCACCTCGCTGTGGGAAGAGCCACACAGCGCTGTGCCATTGATTGACAGGACCTTGTCTCCCTCCTGGATGGATCCCTCCTCAGCCGCCACCCCCGCCGGGAACACCTTATGGACCTGGAAGTCAAACACCAGAGGTCAGAGGTCAGAATGGACCAGGAAGTGAAAAACCATGATGCCTAGGCTTTAGATCAGTGGGCTAATGTGGTCTTGAATTATGTGGGCGAACTGAGTCGGTCACAGAAACACAGAAGCATTGGTACTGGTTGAGTAGTACTCACAATGACAGGTTTGTTCTGGTCCACTCCTCCTGCCATGGTGAAGCCTAGTCCCACACCAACTTCCTTATGGAGAACCACCACCTGGACATCCTCATAATTCTATAGAGCGGGGAGAGATAGCGAAGGGGGATAGAACAGCAACAGCACAAGATGGCAGTTGAGCATTGACAAATACTGATGCTATTATTAATGCTAATTATAATGTAATAACACTCTAATGTAATGTTTTAGCTGGTTGTTTAGTCTGGTGTAGTGAAGATAGTTGTAGTACCTGCAGGGTTGTGTCCCCCAGGCCCTTTACGTCGTCCAGCAGGCGGTCCAGCTCATCACTGCCCAGGACAGACACACAGGATAGGGCCGACACGTCAGACGACAGGCTGGCTGACCGGCTGGACAGCCACTCCTCACTGTCAGAGGAAGACTGGGGATCATAGTCCACCTCTCCGAAGTTACACAGCTCTGCCAGACTGAGGGAGAGAGACATAGTGGAGGAATAAACACAAATTTGAATGATTAGATAAAAACAAGTACATTATACAGAATCATGTAACAGGTAGCCTGACAATAACCACAATTTAATTGACTTTTAAACATTGTGCTTGTTGTGTTTAGTGTAGTATTTTCATCATAAGTTGAAAACAAAAGTTACCCACCTGAGAGAGAAGCTCCTGCGATGTGATTGGCTCATGGTACTGGTGATGGTCACCGAGGATTCAGCAGAGTCTGAGTCGTAGTTGGAGTCCTCGTCCTTCTCCGTACCTTCATCATCAGTATCCTCCTCATCACTCCATCCCCCCTCCTCTGAGTTCCATCGAGCCAGAGTGGGGAGGAGGGGAAGGGACAGGGGGAGAGACAGGGAATCCCTCCCCAGGCCAGAATGTGAGACTGGGATATCAGGGTCAGTAGTGACCCTACCCTGGGCTGTGTGTGTAGAGACTGGAGGGTGCTTTAGGGCAGCCAGGCCTGAATCTACACCTTGTTGGTGTTTCGGCTGCAGGGAAGTAGTTGGGAGGTGTGGGGAGGTGTTCTGGGGGTGGAAGGGGGAGTTCTGGGGGTGGAAGGGGGAGTTCTGGGGGTGGAAGGGGGAGTTCTGGGGGTGGAAGGGGGAGTTCTGGGGGGTGTTGGTGGGTGTCTTGTCGTCATCGCTCACTGGAGATGGCAGGTTAGGTGAGTCTCTACTGTGAAGCCTCCTAGACTGGTCAGGGGCCCCTAGAACCTCATTGGAGTTGTTATTACAGTTAGACAGCTGGGAGGATGAAGTATCCTTGGCAGTGACTGTAGTAGTCTTTGTGTTGGTGCCTCTCCTACTCCAGTCCTGGGGTGTGACTGTGTGTTTGGGGAGGTCTGGCTCATCAATTGAAAAGTCTCTCAGAGTGTCTCTGGTGGTTTTGTCATTCAGAGGGATGTCTAGTTTACCCTTGAGGTTGGAAAATGTCCCAGAGCCAACAGCATTCTCCTCCACTCCCCCTCTCTCCCCCACTCCCCCTCTCTCCCCTACTCCCCCTCTCTCCCCTACTCCCCCTCTATAGCCCACTCCTCCTATCTCCCCCATTCCCTTTCTCTCCCCTACTCCCCCTCTCTCCTCCACTCCCCCTCTCTCCCCTACTCCCCCTCTATAACCCACTCCTCCTTTCTCCCCCACACCCCCTCTATAACCCACTCCTCCTCTCTCCCCCACTCCCCCTCTCTCCCTGCTCCCCAGCCTCACCCCCACCTCATCCACTGACATAGACCTCAACGCCCACCCTCTATCTGCCTTCCTCTCTTCCCCCTCTTCTCTCACTACCTCCCCTCCTCTCCCTCCACCAAGCGCTTTATCTGGCACACTCTTCCTTACCCCTTCTCCTTGTCCTCTCACCCCGTCCATTATTACAATCCCTCCCTCTCCTCCTCCTCTCACTCTCTCCCATACTCCCCTCACCCCCCCTACCTGTCTATCCGACCCACTCTTCCTGACCGCCTCTCTAGCCTCACTGAGCTGCTCCGGGACAGAGAAAGCCCGTCTGGGCTTCAGGTAGTTGGGCACTGGGACCTGAGATGTCTGTGTCAGAGCTTCAAACTGGTGGATCTTATTCCTCACACTGGCTGCAGAGGGCGCTACCAGTTTCCCAGGTAACTTGGTATTTTCAGTGTTCTGTAAATGTATCCTCTCTGGGGTGTTGGCTTCAAACACATCTTCTGACAGGCTCCCTTCCCTGGCCATGCCTCTAGCAGGGGTCTTGCTCCTGTCATATGTGTCCGTTTTCCCATTAAGCTGATTGGTCAGGCGGGAGTTTGACCCCGTGGTGACCCCTACTCCGGGCGTTGTGATAGGCTGAGAATCCCTGGTGCATGTCACTGATTGGCTGTGCTGGGGGAGAGAGACTTCAGCGTTTTCTCTCCCTTGCTTCTCCGCCTCTTTTTTCTTGTGTCTTTTTCCTTCAACATCAGTCAGTTTCTCCTTTTCCTGAGCCGTGTTCCCCATCCTTACTCTCTCCTTTTCACTGTCTTCACGACTTCCACTATTTTCGTCCACAGTGTTTGTCACCCCCTTATTTCCTCTCTCCTTTTTTCCTCCTAATGGAGGGGATAGAGAGGGGTCCCTCATGAACACTGATGATCCCTCCACTAAGGGTGTGTGTGAGGGTGTGTGTGAGGGTATGGGGTTGGTCCACCCTGACACTGGAGACACTGAGGGACTCAAACCAGACACCTTGACTACACTACTCTGATCTCTCTGCCGTGTGTGTGTGGTGAGTGTGGTATTATGTTCAACCAGGGGTGTGTGTGTTGTGTGTGTGGTGTTCTGTTCAACCAGGGGTGTGTGTGTGAGCAGGCCGTTCCTCTCCCCCCTGGATAATCCACTGAGGGGGGAGGAAAGCGGGGAGGGGAAGGGGAGGCAGAGACAAAGGCAGAGTCTGTGGTAGACTTCCTGCGATTGGTTGCTGTATCTCTCCAATCCCCCTCCAACAGAGACCAGTCTCCTACCGGTGCTGAGAGACGCTTGGTTCTGTTTGAGTCCTTCACACCCTTATCTCTGTTAGCAGCTTCATCAGGTCCAGTAGTCCCATAGAGCTTCTGTATACGGTCCCAGATACTCTGACCCCTGGAGGATCCAACAGATCCACTGGCTGGTTCTCTGATTCCAGACCCAGGACCAGGACTAGACCTCAGCCTGGTGGGGAGGGACTGGCCCCCACTGGCCCTCTCCAAAGCCAGAACCACACACCCTAGACCCACAGGGGACACCCCTTCACCAGGGGAACACCCTGACCCCCCCAACGGGGCTCATCATCTCCCCTGGTCCAGCTGAGTTAAAGGCCTTAACCCTGGACAACACTTTGCTCTCTCCTGCCCCCCTACTCTCCAAACTCTCTGCTCGTTTAAGTGTGGACCCCCCTAGGTTCCCAGAAAACCTCAGCACCCCAGTTCTGCGCCACTCGCCAGGGCTAGCCTCCCCTCCTCTCCAGTCTAAACTCCTACTCCTTTTAGGCAGGTTTAGTCTTCTCCACTCTGTCCTGCCCCGGGCTCCAGCCAACTTCCCCGCATCGCCATAGTTTCTTCCCCTGTCACTGCCATCCTCTGGGATCACGTCCCTCACACCACCATTCTGGCTCAACTGTTCGGTGGCCATTGTGGAGCCTGTTGTGTGTTTCTCCTCACTGGGGAATGGGTCCAGTGCGAGTTTAATTATTCCAAGTGTAGTATGTGGGTAGCTTAGTGGGTAAGAGCGTTGTGCCAGTAACCGAAAGGTCGCTGGTTCTAATCCCCGAGCCGACTAGGTGAAAAATCTGTCGATGTGCCCTTAAGCAAGGCACTTAACCCTAATTGCTCCTGTAAGTCGCTCTGGATAAGAGCGTCTGCTAAATGACGTAAATGTAAAAAATTGTAAAAAGTGATAGTTTTAGAATACCAGTAATCCTTTTTGGAGAGTTCAAGCACTGGTCAAAATCGTTACAGAAGCCTTTGACAGCAGCACAGGGCTGGTAGGAAAGGTGTTTTTCTGCCCCAGTAGAAACGTCAAGAGTGGTTGAACTGCAATCTTTTCATGTTTGGGTCTCCAGATACCAACAGCCTCTCACTTGTATATCTACAGGTTTGAGATTCCATCCATGAAGATTCTCTGCATTTCTGTCTCCCACACACTCAGAGATGATTGTTAGTTCTACTTCCCTCCCTCTCTGTCCATTCTTCTCTATGTCTCTGTGGTGTTGGCTCCAGTAGTCAAACAGAGGCCCTCAGCAGTGAAGTTTTCCTGGGTGAGAGGTCACGCACAAGCCTCAGAACCCTGCAAACATAAAGAAACATATCATATGTCAAATGTTATGTTATATTTACATATAAAAAACATAAAATCTTACATTTACTGAGAAAAAAATTCCATCTTTGAAATGGTTAGGAATGCTGAGGTAACAGTATTCTGGACACTATGGTCAAATGTAATGATACAGTGCAGTTAGTAGCACACAGTAGCCAGATTACAGTCATCAGAGAGAGAGAGAGACTAAGAGAGACAGGAAAGGAGATGACAGAAAGAGACAGAGAGACAGGAAAGGAGATGACAGAAAGAGACAGAGAGACAGAAATAGAGAGAAAGAGAGACAGAGAGACAGAAATAGAGAGAAAGGGAGACAGAAAAATGAGATAACAGAAAGAGACGGAGACAGAGATAGAAAGAGAGAGAAAAAGGAGAGAGATATATAAAGAAACGAAAGTGTCATAAAAAAAAACATTTAAAAACAATCAAGTTGAAAATAAAATATCCTAAACTCTATAGTAAGTCTCCATCCAACCACCATCTCAGTGAAGTGAGGTTACCTCATCAGTGAAACTCCTCTGCCTTCCATACATTCCCCTCATACTGACTCAATGAGTCCATTCACATAGAAGTCTGCCTCTGCACACCACACACACACACACACCACCTAAACACGGCACTTAAACGCGTATGTCCTTTCACCTGGGTCGACTGGACTGGCGCACTCAGCTCAACCTAAAAACAAACTGGAAAAACCCATCAGACAACAATCCACACTGACACTAGGAAACAATGTATTACACAGATACAACCTAATCTCTCTCTTTCCTTCTTTCTCTCTTTCTTTCTCTCTCTTTTTCTTTTTCTCTCTCTGTCTCTCTCGCATACTCACACACACATGCACTCTCTCGCCAACTAAAACAATCAAACACAGACAGAGATTCAAAGTGCTCCACAAAGCGTTCAGTCAAACAGAGTTGAATGTGATCAGATAAGATTGTCACAGAAGCGGAACTGAGTGTAACTGTTTTCCATGCAGTTTGTATGGGCACTGCTTTCAGATGGAGCTACTGATATCTACACGGTCACTACCGTAGGCTATTGTTGATCTGCTGTTAGAACAATAGCATGGTCATGGACTTCTATACAAAGCCACTCAGTATATGGTGGCCCGTGTGGGAATCAAATGCTCAACTCTGGTGTTGCAAACAGCATGTTCTAACATACTGAACCACCAGTTTATTTACTAATCTCTTAGATTTTGATCTCATTCTATTTCATATCTACGGTCAGTACAAGATACTCTACTGTCAGTAAAAGATACCCTACTGTCAGTAAAATATACTCTACTGTCAGTAAAAGACACCCTACTGTCAGTACAAGTTACCCTACTGCCAGTACAATATACCCTACTGCCAGTACAAGATACCCTACTGCCAGTACAAGATATTCTACTCAGTACAATATACCCTACTGCCAGTACAAGATACCCTACTGCCAGTACAAGATATTCTACTGTCAGTACAATATACCCTACTGTCAGTGCAAGATACTCTACTCAGTACACTCTTAGAAGGTGTTCTCCTATGGGGACAGCCGAAGAACCCTTTTAGGTTCTAGATAGCAACTTTTTTTTAAGAGTGTACAGGATATTCTACTCAGTGCAAGATACTCTACTCACTATCTACTACAGTACTCACAACCAGTTCCAAGTGGAAGTTAGAGTGAAGCATCCCTTCAGTTATGAGTTCTTGACTTGTCATCCAGTCATTCACCTATGGATTGACATATAACCTCCCACTGTCAAATATCTCATCTCTGGGGCGTTATGCAAAGCTAACTGTCTAATGGGTACAGACTGCTGTCATATCGGTGAACAGAATAACTGTCAACATCACAGCCAAAAGAAAACAGCTGCAAACGTCACAGATATTATGATATATCATAATATCAGAAAGTTTGAAGATCCCAAAAATGAATAAAAAATAATACCTATCAACAAGAAGACAAAATCCATGAGAGTGAATTAATTCCATACGGATGGTAATGTGTGTTTTTCTATGTGTGTACCAGTTCTTTTTTGATTCGGCTAAGTCCCAGTGTCAGTTTACAGAAACACCTGTTCTCCCAGGTCACAAAGCCTCCCACCTGCGTATCCGTTGGCAACAACATGGCCCCATTCACTATAAAGCCAAATTAAACAAAGACACACAAACACACCTTACCTTCAGAGAAACTTAGGAGTCCAAGCTGATCCAATCAGACGCTGTGTTTTGGGGTAGTAGTGGGAGAGAGTATAGTTACCCTCATCCTCCTCCACGCTCCCTCTCTGTCATCTTTGCATTATGTATCTATACAGTCACACAAACCTGCCCCACTGGTTGGTTGGTCTCTCTCTCTCTCTCTCTCTCTCTCTCTCTCTCTCTCTCTCTCTCTCTCGTTACTCCCTCCTTCCTTCTTGCACACAGGACAGCATTCCAGACTTGCTCAGTGTGTCACCTTCTGACCACACACACCCACATACAGTATTTACACATGCACAAGTATATGTATCATCCCACTCCACACACACACATACAGTATAAACACATGCTGCCATATTGTACTGATCAGTTGACCCTGAAGTCAGTCAGTAGATTTACAACTACACTACATGAGATGTGACGCCGTACAACATGTACAACACACACACACACAACCACCAAACAGCCATATCAAAATCAATCTCTCTGTCTCCTACTGTGACATCACACCAGCCAGAGGAAGAAGGGATAGGGTTCTGATAATTATGTGAAACTGAGAGAAGAAAGGAGAGAAAGAGAGAGAGAAAGAGAGAGAGCCTAACACTTCTCAGCCCACCCTAGGTAACCTTTCCAGGTGAAACAACACTAGGATGTACAGTATAACTCTAACTGTACAGAGTGCGAGTGTTAGATTACATGAGCTGAGACCAAGCTGAGTCAGGTTACCTGTGTAATGGGGAATCAACAAAGGCTTGCATTAGGAGACCTCCACACAACTCATATGAGCCTATACTTTCAACACTCCTTTTCCCCAGGGAAATTCCTTTTTGGAGATGTCTAAAAGATAGGTAAGACAGAGGGAGTCTTTGGGCAACGTAAGGGTTGGCCAGTTCAGGGCTCTGACTGAGATAAATAACATAAACTTATCAATAGCACAGATCAGTAGGTCAAAAGGTACTCCCACATAATTATTATATATCTTTAAGTGTGTTCAGTGTCATGTTGATGCCCTGGAACAGGGCAGATCTAGATAGGACAATATCTGCATTATAAGAAATACATGAAAATGTTGAAAATGACGTTAAAATTAGGTTTGAAAAACATTTACCTCAGTGTTAGTTTTCTGTGACTTGTAGCTGTTCCGCTCTGTCATCTGAAGCATGAGCTGAGAGACTTCCTTCCTGAGGGAACAAAGAAGTGTCACACCACCACCATCACCACCGGTAGAGACATCAGTATCACACTTTCATTTACATATACAGTGTGCTGTGTCCCTAACAGCATCCTTTCCTTGTCTGCTTTCCTTCATGACCACTGTCTTGTTAGCAGTATTCCTCCTTTATGACCACTTCTCGTTAGCAGTATTTCTCCTTTATGACCACTTCTCGTTAGCAGTATTTCTCCTTCATGACCACTGTCTCGTTAGCAGTATTTCTCCTTTATGACCACTGTCTCATTAGCAGTATTTCTCCTTCATGACCACTGTCTCATTAGCAGTATTTCTCCTTTATGACCACTGTCTCGTTAGCAGTATTTCTCCTTTATGACCACTGTCTCATTAGCAGTATTCCTCCTTTATGACCACTGTCTCATTAGCAGTATTCCTCCTTCATGATCACTGTCTCATTAGCAGTATTTCTCCTTCATGACCACTGTCTCAATAGCCAGGGGTGCACATAACTGGTACGCAGATACGCAAGCGCGACAAAAATCAGGAATGCGTAATGCCACTTGTGTTACTACGCGCCTTTGCGTACTTGACCGATCTTCTCATCTAACCTTACACATGACATGTTGCTTGTCAACTACTGTCAGGGATGTCCAAAAAGCAACAGACATTAAGCAGCTTCTTTGGCGTTTCGCCACCTACAAAGAAACGCCAACTGGAGCCAGAGCCGAAGAAAATACTTTTTTCGGAAAAGTGGCTCCAAGATGTGCAGTGGCTTGAAGCTAACGATGAGCGCACTGAAATGTGGTGCAAGATTTGCCGCTCAAATCCACATCTAGCAGACAAAACAGGTGCATTTTATAAAGGCTCAAAGAATTTCAACCATCCTTTATTTGACAAACATGAAAAGAGCAAGGAGCACACGAATGTGGCGCAAGCCATTGCTAAAAGATAGCCGAGAATAA